GAGTGACGGGTCAGGTGAGCGATCTAGGGCCATCTTGGCCCTCTTGTTTTATAACTTGTCTAACTTTTCTCGTGCAAAATTGTAAAATATTATATTATAAAATATTCTCTCATTTTCTTACATTATTCCATAAATTGATTGCATTAATGTTTACAATGTTCATGTTTTATTTTCACTTATGTACTTCGTAATTTGAAATTTATTAGCTGGTTTAATTTTATTTACATTGCCTTTAAGTGTGTGTTTTTTGTTTATATTTGCATTTTGTATATTTCGTAAACCATTATGTTTGCCTTTTCCATTTGTCAGTTCAACAGGTCATTTGTCAATTCAACAGATTTGATTATTTTAAACATCGTTTGTTTTTTTGCATTCATTAAAAAGCAGGCTTTTTATGTTGTAAATTTTTTATTTCCAGACAGAAGTTGACGATTTTTTACCATTCTAATAAATTTCTTTAATTATATTTTTGTTACCTTTCTAACTTTTCTAATTTTTTTTGGAAATACATTACCTCATATTTTTTCTTTTAATTAAGTTAGGTTGGGCCACGAGAGAGTTCCTCCCCGTGGTGTGGCCTGGATATTACATTTCGCAAACAGTCAAATCCGTTATTTATTTTATTTTACATCTACCCTTTGGCGAAATGTAATAACTGAACGCTCTCAACAAATTATATTAAATTTTCCACGGAGAAAAACAATAACATTTTTAAGTTAACGTTTATTTTATTTTTAGAAAAAAATGCTTATTGACCACATTTTACCTATTTCGCAATTTCAATATAACTATTAAAAAAAATTCATCTTTTTTTTATTATTACTGTATTTTTTCATCAAAAATTGAATCATTCTAAAATAAAAGTGTTATTGCCTATTGGTCATTCTAATTGCGTATATAATCTGGAGACCGTCGATTTGTGTTATAACCTACTAATCGACGGTCTCCTACAATTGACGGTCTTCGACGGTCTTTGGAGACCGGGGACCGTCGAAGACCGGAGACCGGAGACCGTCGATTAGTATCCCCCGATATCAGTCAGTGAAGAGTTACTTCCCTTACCGGATGTGACGTAAATGGGGGATAAAACTATGCATGCCGCATAGAAAGTTAGCTTATTGAAAAGTTAAATGCGTAAATACTGATCGTTCAATTATGATTATAACATGTAAAAATTTACGCATTCATACATTAATTCAATATCAAGACAATAGAAAAAAATACAAAAGCAATGATTGAGATTAATTCTCGCGCTACCACGGATTTATAAATCCGTGTCGCAACGGAGTGAAAGAGCGAAATTTCAAAGTAAATATATTTATTAGATCTAGATTTTCTCAAATGCCAGGATAAAAAGCTAGTAACTAAATCAAATTTTAATATTTTATAAACACCCATACACACTGAAATTGCCTATTATAAATTTAAATGGCCATTTTCTAGTTTTCTGTGTTATTTTCTGTCATTTAGAAACTTCCGGCGTATTTGTGACAAACCTGAAAATAAGATTGCCAATGTCTTATATTGATTGTTTTTCAAGCTTTACTAGAACAATTACAGAATGCATTACGTCAATACTTACTGATTCCTTTTCATTTTGCTATAGACCCCTTGCATGCGTGGTATGAATTTTACCTTAACACCGGTTGTCCGCCATTTTGGAGATATACGTAAATATTGACATACAAAGGAAAACAAAGTAAAATCGAACGTGTTACGATAAATGAAGACTTATTGACGTAAAATATGTCAAATAAACCGCCAGTTACTTCAACAGCAAATAAATTAATGTATAGAGACACATTAGAACCAGTTGAGCGGACAAGATACGACAATAAATTAGCGATAATCGGGGGATGTGAAAATGATCCTTACGAACTGTAATCCTTTACTGAGGATGTGAAATTACTACCAGCTGTAACTTATCCTGATATAGTGAACTATCTGATTTTTACTCCTAGTCCGTACACTGCTGATGATTTGAAATGCTATAAAGGGTTAGATGCCTATAATCAATTCCTGTGTGGATGGGTCTCATGTTTGAAAACAGTGATAATCAACAACAAACATGTTGTTAGAGCTAAGGTGAGAAGTGAAATGTTTAGACATCGTTGATATTTATCTTTGAACATTATAATTAATGAATCGTGAAAATGGCTTTGTCTTGCATTTTAAATGGCATAAATAATTAAATTGAAAAATTATGTCATGGCTAATTATTCTTTTTTACACTGGTAAACTAATGTGTGCCTTGCATGTGGTGCCATGCACATGTACTTGGTAAAACACTCTGTAAAGGATGTATAACACTTTTTTGTCAAGCCACACAAGTGCCTGTAATGTTATAATTTTAATAGCTATTTCATTAAATGTATTATACCTAATCCCTGTGATTATTTACATTGTAGGTTTTACATTCCCAGAGATTGCGAGAAAAGTCATTGAATGCATGGGTTACAGCAGAGCCAAACGGGAAAATTCTTGCTTCACATTGTGACTGTATGGCAGGTATTGGTGAAGTATGTTCACATGTAGCCTCCATTCTGTTTGCCATTGAGGGGACTGTCCATGTGCGTGACTCTCGAACTGTCACACAGGAGCCAGCTTACTGGCTACTTCCCACATCAGTGAAGAAAGTGAATTATTCTGAGACCCGACACATCAACTTTACTTCAGCCAAAACACTTAAAAAAACATTTGAAAAAATGTGTGACAACACTGTGACAGCCCCTCCTTCGACAAAGAAAAGTAAAAAGCCTGTACCAGAACCAACACAATCTGAAATTTCAAACTTATTTTCTAGTCTACATGCAACAGGAAAGAAATACTCTATTCTCTCTGTCGTACCAGAATTCGCAGACAACTATAGACCTAAAGTCGAGCAACTGAAATATGCAAAAGATTTGACAGAACTTAAAGAAAAAAATGCCATGCAAATGAACTATATGGAATTGTTGTCAAAATGTAATGACATTTCAATAAGTGTGACAGAAGAGGAGGTAGGAAATGATGAAATAGCGACAAGACAGCAGTCACAGAGCAAACTTTGGTACAAGTTTAGATCAGGACGCATAACGGCCTCAAAAATGAAATCTGTCTGCTCAACAGATAGTTCGAACCCCTCTCAAAGCCTTATAATGTCCATCTGTTACCCATCTAGTCATCAATTTTCTTCTGAAGCAACTGCATGGGGACTGAAAAATGAGAAGCTAGCAATTGATAAGTTTGTACAAGCATTTATTGCAGAAGGTCATGAAAATGTGACTGTTGAAAATTGTGGCCTATTTATCAGTTCTGACAGTCCATGGTTAGCAGCAACCCCAGATTGAATAATTTCATGTGACTGTTGTGGGAAAAGTACAGTTGAGGTAAATGTCCTTTTTCAAAGAAGAATGATGTCCTTAAGTCTGATGGAGATTTCTACCTCATTCAAGGAGACAATGGAGAGTTAAGTCTAGACCATAAACACAATTACTATTTTCAAGTTCAAACACAGTTGGGTGTGACTAAGTGTGAGTCGTGTTTTTTTATTGTATGGACAGATAAAGACATACATATTGAAGAGATTGACTTTGATAAGGAATTATGGGACACTAAATAAGCCGAAATTTTCTTTCGGACAGCTATTCTCCCTGAATTGGTTGGAAAATTCTATTCTCGTCTCCCTGGCACAGGTATACCAACCATCTCATCAACTATTCTGAATGATAACAGTTCAAACAAGGCAGGTGCATGTGAAAATGTCCCAAGTTCTTCCAATAATGAAGAAACTTGGTGCTACTGTAACCAGGTGGAATAAGGAAATATGGTTTATTGTGACAACGAGAACTGTGACATAAAATGGTTTCATTTTACTTGTTTGAAATTGTCAAATGAACCTAAAAGTAAACTGTGGTACTGCCCTGACTGTAGGAAGTTGCCTGAATTTTCAAGGAAGCGTATAGAGAAATGTTAAAAAATAGCAAATCAGATAAAAAACAAAATGATTTTTTATTGCTGGTCACATCAACAGTTCATTTTTGTTTCAGCAAAACTCATAGCATTAAAAGACATGACAGGTTAATAAGTGTCTAGTAAAAAGAACATATATATGTGTTTTAACATAAAAACATACATTATTTTTTTAAAAGAAAGTTTTAATCTTTTTATAATTTAAAGTTACAGATAGTTGAAAAGTTGTTGTGTAACATAACTTGTCAAAAGATTATTTGTTACAGACTATAGAAGTAACAAGAGCTGTCACAGGAGACAGCGAAGCTCGACTAATAAAATACTGGAGACAGTAAGGAGGACAAAACTATGAAAGAAAAATCAATTATGTATAATTATGTATTAAGTTATAGTAAAAAAATTAACATTTGTTAACATAAATTTAAAGATCAAGGGGAATAGTTCTAGAAATAGTCATGCTAGAGTTATGGATCTTGTCAAACAACATTTGTGTAATGATAAGAAATATATATTTGAAGTTTGAAGTAGATACCTTAAAAAGTAAAGAAGTTATTATATTTCTTAAAGAAAATCCTAAGTTCAAAGAGATAGAGATAAATGTGTAAATATTGCTTCAAGAGTCATGAACATTGTCACATTAAATGTAATTGATGATAAGGAATAAGTATTTGAAGTTTGAGGTAGATACCTTTAAAAATAAAAAAGTTATAATAAAAAATAACATTTTTCTAGTAAAAAAATCTAAGTTTATTGGGAGATAATTCTTGCAATATTGGTGCTAGAGTTATGAACCTCGTCACATAAGATGTGGATGATGATAACGTAAATATATTTGAAGTATGAAGTTGATCCCTATAAAAATAAATAAGTATCAGTAAAAAAAATATTTTTTATGGAAAATTCTAAGTTAAAAGGGAGATAAATCTGAAAATATTGGTGCTAGAGTTATGAACCTTGTCACATAAGATGGGGATGATGACAACGTAAATATATTTGAAGAAGGTTGATCCCTTAAGAAATAAAGAAGAAACAGTAAGAAATAGTACTTTTTGAGGAAAATTCTAAGTTCAAGGGGAGATAAATCTGAAAATATTGGTGCTAGAGTTATGAACCTTGTCACATAAGATGGGGATGATGATAAGGTACATATATTTGAAGTATGAGATTGATCCCTTAAGAAATAAAGAAGTAACAGTAAAAAATAGTATTTTTTAAGGAAAATTCTAAGTTCAAGGGGAGATAAATCTGAAAAAAATTGGTGCTAGAGTTATGAACCTTGTCACATATGATGTGGTTGATGATAAGGAACATATATTTGAAGTTTGAAGTTGATACCTTAAGAAATGACAAAGTTATAGTGAAAATATTTTACTGCACCAAAACTTTAATCTAAAATCTGGACGCGGACGCGGACGCCGACGCCGACGCCGGGGCGAGTAGGACAGCTCTCCATATACTTCGTATAGTCGAGCTAAAAATGATTCCGATTTGTTGCTGTCTGTTATTTTCACACAACAGTATTTTATTTTTTATTGTTTGTTTTGTTACAACAGTAAAACAGATATGTGTATTAAAATTTGAAGAATAAAATGTTTGTATCATAATCAGTACCAGCATTTATATTTTTCCCCACAAGTAAATAACAACTTCTCTACATTAGTCATCACATTAAAAATACATATATACATAACACTAATGTGTCATTTCATTATCATTGTATTCTATTGGATTTACTATGAATTAACAATGACTCACTATTGTACAACTGTACAGACTTGTCAATCAATCAAAATTTACTACAGGTTCACACATGTTAACAAGTCCACAACAAACATATGCAATTTTATCCACTAAAGGAATATTCTCATTTTCCCGTGCGATCAGAAAATCAATTGGTAATGTACCATTTAGTATAGTGTATTTCTGCCTGACAAGCCCAATCACTCGTTCAAGATGTATTCTGACATTGGCAATTTTTCTTGTTGTTTCGATATCAAGAGAAGATAACTGGCTTTTTCCTTTAGTAAATGCCGGAATTTTCACTTCCGCACACATGCTTCCAATGCTTGCTTGTATATCAAAGCCCCTATCTGCCAGCACAAGATCACCTGGTAAAATCTTATGTAAAAACCACAATTTTCAGTGATGTGTTTATCACTGGTTCTCCCACCCCATGACTTTGAAATAAAAGAAATAACACCTTGTGGGGTTATACCTAGTAAAAATTTAACTGAGTTATGATGTTTGTAAGAGGACCAGGTTTCAGCTCTTGCTTTTAAATTTGATGGGCGTTCAATAAAAACCTCAAAACAGTCTATAATTACAGCACATTTAGTTCCAAAATGTTGTCGAAACTGCATTGGCATTGTGAGCCTTAATGTCTCTCTGTCTGGCCAATATACTAATGGCTTCATGCGAATATGCATTACATCAATTACTTCGGAAAATGTCCTGGATACATTGGATTGCGAAATTTTGAACTGATAAGACAAGAACTGGTTACTTAAATTCAGTCTCAGTTTAATAAGTGTTAACATCAAGGTTTCGAACTTGCTCAAAGACAGTTTAGCGGGTATGTATGCTTCTAAGAACTGAAACAATGCAAAGAGCACAGAAAAACATGTTAATCCTGTGAAATGTTTAACTTTTTCATCATTTTTTTTCATTGACTCCATACTATATGGATGTTCATCGCACAATTGATCTGATAGTTCTTGATTTTTTGTTTGTAAATAAGAGATTTCGGTTTGCATTGCTGTAATTCCTACACATGTAAGCTCAGTTTGGCATACCATGCCTTGGTCTGTTGTTGAGTCCTCCACCTGTAAAAGTTCTTCACAATCCTGTGAAATACTAAACATTTTCTGTTTCTGTCATTTCTTCGTTGAAAACGATCATTGGCAAGATATGGTGATCGTAACACTTTTGTCCCCATATTGACTGTAGGTGCCCAGTTAGGACTCTCTCTTTCATATAAGGCTGCTTTTCTTCCCTGAAAAATAAATCAGTTACATTTTTTTCAATCAATTCATTTTATCAAATTCAATAGTGATAATGGAGATTAAAAACATTTTAACTAAAAATTCAAAATCAAATAGTTGCTGAAATGTCCGACATGTCTATGGACCAGCATAATTTTTCTCAACTTGTCAATAAACATGTATAATCAACCCAAATCAACTCAAAATTCAAGGACTCGCACATTACACTTTCCATTAAATAGAAATTAATTTATACTAATTAATGCCGAATATCAAACAAAATTTTACCGTTAACAAAATGATCTGAGCAGACTCGGATATTTTTCAAATTTTTCCCAGCGAAGTCTTGATGTAAATTTGCCAACCATAAACGCCTTCTTTCTTCCGACAATTCTCTCGTTTTCTCCCCTTCACGAGTTACTACCTGTTTGTCATTATCCCTATCAAATCTATTATGACATCCTAAAACTCGACAATAGTTCACCATTTTAAACAAATTTCAATTGTTATCGCTAAATTTATGCACGCTTCGATAGCAGTGTTTACACTTTACCGTCTCGTGTCAATAATCCGGGTCATGACCTTATCTCCAAAATGGCGGCCGGCTTATCGATTACGTCATATGCAAAAGGTCTATAATAGACCCCTTGCATGCGTGGTATGAATTTTACCTTAACACCGGTTGTCCGCCATTTTGGAGATATACGTAAATATTGACATACAAAGGAAAACAAAGTAAAATCGAACGTGTTACGATAAATGAAGACTTATTGACGTAAAATATGTCAAATAAACCGCCAGTTACTTCAACAGCAAATAAATTAATGTATAGAGACACATTAGAACCAGTTGAGCGGACAAGATACGACAATAAATTAGCGATAATCGGGGGATGTGAAAATGATCCTTACGAACTGTAATCCTTTACTGAGGATGTGAAATTACTACCAGCTGTAACTTATCCTGATATAGTGAACTATCTGATTTTTACTCCTAGTCCGTACACTGCTGATGATTTGAAATGCTATAAAGGGTTAGATGCCTATAATCAATTCCTGTGTGGATGGGTCTCATGTTTTGAAAACAGTGATAATCAACAACAAACATGTTGTTAGAGCTAAGGTGAGAAGTGAAATGTTTAGACATCGTTGATATTTATCTTTGAACATTATAATTAATGAATCGTGAAAATGGCTTTGTCTTGCATTTTAAATGGCATAAATAATTAAATTGAAAAATTATGTCATGGCTAATTATTCTTTTTTACACTGGTAAACTAATGTGTGCCTTGCATGTGGTGCCATGCACATGTACTTGGTAAAACACTCTGTAAAGGATGTATAACACTTTTTTGTCAAGCCACACAAGTGCCTGTAATGTTATAATTTTAATAGCTATTTCATTAAATGTATTATACCTAATCCCTGTGATTATTTACATTGTAGGTTTTACATTCCCAGAGATTGCGAGAAAAGTCATTGAATGCATGGGTTACAGCAGAGCCAAACGGGAAAATTCTTGCTTCACATTGTGACGGTATGGCAGGTATTAGTGAAGTATGTTCACATGTAGCCTCCATTCTGTTTGCCATTGAGGGGACTGTCCATGTGCGTGACTCTCGAACTTTCACACAGGAGCAAGCTTACTGGCTACTTCCCACATCAGTGAAGAAAGTGAATTATTCAGAGACCCGATACATCAACTTTACTTCAGCGAAAACACTTAAAAATACATTTGAAAAAATGTGTGACAACACTGTGACAGCCCCTCCCTCGACAAAGAAAAGTAAAAAGCCTGTACCAGAACAAACACAATCTGAAATTTCAAACTTATTTTCTAGTCTGCATGCAACAGGAAAGAAATGCTCTATTCTCTCTGTCGTACC